GGGGGAGAGTCACTTCTGGAAGCAATCTGCTTCTTCCACTTGGTCCCAAACGTCAGACAGCACCCTCTACCGATACGGAGAAAAAGCTTCACCTTCTTCCTTTAGCTGTTGTTGGGATTCTGCTACTATGACTACATCAAAGGAATACATTTACAACAAAATAAATGTAAACGTTTGAAAGAGAAAATAGTTTTAAAAATGAAAAATGAGGTAGGCTAAATAAAAATAGACGTGGCCTACACTTGTGGGGAGCTCCGTGATGCTCCTTTTGAACAAACAGAAGCTGATGTAGAAAATGCCCCCTGAGATTTAAAGTTTCAAGGACTGGGAATCCTCTTCCACTCTCCCCCCTTAATTAAGCCGCAGCTCACACACGTGCCCTTTTTCAAGAATCCCTGCACGCTTTTAGGACTGGAAGGTATCTCCAAATTTAAATGGTGACAATCATAGTAAGCGATGTGAACTTTTTCCTCAGCTGCATACCAAAAACCCTGTATCAGCCCAGCAAAATATTAACTGCTTAAAGATTAACCTGCCCCCCAGGAGTCTGAATTTAAATTGAAACAAATTCCAGACATGAGTCCGTCATACCGAATGCTTTCTTGTTACCCACAATCCACTAAGGTAATCAAAGGCTATGCCAAGACCATTTGAATAAAACACCGAGAGTGTAGCACACGTGCCCCTTTATGGGTATCTGCTAAAGCAAACCTTTTTTTGTTTTTACTATCTTGAATCAGAAAATAAATACTTGGTGTGTACAATATTTGCTTTTCTGCCCTATGGATTGAAGAGAGCTGCAAAATACTCCTCGGCTGAGCAATGCAAGTGTGTTTAGTTCAGTGCCCAGCAATTACAGAAACACGGCTTTTTAAAGTAACGTGTATTGCTGTCTAAATATCCAGATATACCTTTCAAAGTTCTGTTTATACAAATAAATGATTTTGGGTGTCCCCCTAGCCAGAACTCTGTATGTTAAGAAGTATACGTATGATGAGAATAATAAAATTTTAAAAAATAAATCACAATGAAACGAAGAAAAATAATCACAAGATCAGTTATCTTGATATATTCGTCCTGTCTTGGAACCCCAATGCCTCTGGAGGGCACCAGGTTGGAGGTGGCCGGTCCACATAATGCCAGAAGCAGGAGAGCTATCTAGATCAGCAAAGGGATGAGCAGGACGTGAGTTTCATCTACTGCGGTATTCATTTTTCAAAACTGCATTTTTATCCTGATTTTACACCAAAGATGCCCCAAAGTGCTTACAATCAGGAAGTTTCTTGTTTTGTTCCAATTATAAATCAAAACTGATCTTCATAAAAAAGAATTAAAAAAACCAAGTTCACTTAGTTATACAGAAATTATACAGTGCACATAACCTATTTCTGACTGCACATCTACTTCTATGTGAAGCAGTTGTACATAATCAAAACAATTTCCTTAACGTTCTAGCAGAAGCAATATAATTCAAAACAGAACTGAATTTAAGACATTCCAATGTAATCATAAGCAGTGATGAGGTCACATTTGCAACAAAACTTCAACCATTTCCCATCATGCACCGAAACGCGCATAATTTTTAAAATAAACTGGAATAGACCCGATCCAAATTACCTTTCGTATTGTATGAAATTAGCTGTCCTAGATGAATTGTCCCATTATTACTGAATTTTCATTCACAGAATAGTGGTTTCCTAATGGGGCGGGAAGAACTCCAGGACACCAAAACACCTTACTGGGCCTTGCTAATCAGCTGCTTAGAAAGTTTTCTTAAACTCTGAATCCCCAACTGGGGCGTCTTGCTAATCAGCAGATTTTCAGATGTGTAAAGATGGCGTTACAATATGGATGGCCCTTCACAGCTGCCTTGCCTTAAATGTGAAATCTGCAATTATCTGTTCTATCTTGAATGCTGGTAGCACAGCCTCATCCAGCATCCAATAATGTGAGTCAAACACTTCTGTGGCATTTGCCGGCTGTTCTGTAGATCAGCCAAGTTGTGAGAGAGGGGCGGCTGGTCTTCAGACTATTCTCTATCAGGTCCTATCAGTCACAGAATCAGAGTCCAGCTCTAATTTCCAAAGCCCCGGGGCAGATGTTTGCATTTACACACTTGCAGACTCCAGACCTCTTTCCATTCTAGCGACTCGAAATTCTCGGAAGACCCCTCTTTGACAACCCCACAGAGTGGCTTTCATTAGCGGAAGATCTCGCCAGCAAAGCGCACGGCTCTGAGGGCCTGTGAAGTGCAACCTTGGCCTCCGTTCATGGCTCGAGCCCTCCACGCGAGCAAACAGGTCTGACACAGCCCCGCCGACCAGGCTCATTTCTGAGGAACCTCAGAAGCCTCCTCGGTTCGAGGAGACCGACGGCTGCAGAAGAGAGGTCTTTATCCACAACTGGGGTGGATGTACTTGGGAAGCCGGACGGGAATGAAAAGCGGGAAGGAGGGAGCGGCGACCCAAGCCAGCCCCTGAGGCCGGAGCCAGCCTCTCTCTCTGGGGTGCGCAGTCCGCGGGCTGCTCCCGCGCGGCCTTCGCTGGCACCCGGGGAGGCGGGAGCGGGGCTGGACCCGAAGCATCCCGCTGCAGCCGAGGCGGTTCGCAAGCTGGAAGCTCGACCAAAAGTTGGGCCGGGGCGCGGGACTGGCCTGTCGCTCCCTCCCGCCTGACGTCGCGGCCCCCAACTCGACT